GAAGAGACTTCAGATAACAATGGTGAGTGTGATGTAATTGAATTCAACTGTTTAGTTTAGGCAAGTCTTTTCACCATTGCCGTAATGAGAGATAAAATTGAAATTATTAAAACAAAATTAAGTGTAAAGTAACTTAAACGAAAAAAGCGCAAAAAAAAAAAACAACAAACAAATGCTTAAGGATAAAAAAAAAATCAATTTGAAAATGTTGAAAGTAAACAGATGATCTCTTAATAACATTATCATCATCAGTAATAATTATTACCTTCTCCTGTATAGAAGAAGAGCATAGAAAAACAAAGAGGGACGATAGTGCTGGGAAAGGTCAGTTTTAACTGTTTTTTCGTCTGCGGTAGAGCAACATCTGTGTCCTCGGTTGTGAGAACAGCATTAAATAGAGTTTGTTGTACCACCTAATGAGTGTCCGTTGAACCATGGTTTTATATCAATAATGTCAAAATGTGTTGCGCATTGTCGCTGGTGAAATCGCATAATCAACATCAACAATATTGTAATGTAATGAGTGGGACTTGACATAGCCCGTTATACAGAAGTCTCAATGAGCTTTTGTTACCGTTATCGTCATCATCATCATCATCATCATCATCATCATCATTATTCAGCATCATCACTGTTGCAGTTACTGCATGGTGTTACTTTTGTTTTTTATTTTTGGATTTTGGTTAATATTCTAAGTTGATAGCGTGTCATTTATTGGAAATATAATATAATTTCTTTTAATTTTCTCAAATTAATTTGAAAATGTTGAAAATAAACAGATGATCTCTTAATAACATTATCATCATCAGTAATAATTATTACCTTCTCCTGTATAGAGCATAGAAGAACAAAGAGTAGTGCTGGGAAAGGTAAGTTTTAACAGTTTTTTCGTCTGCGGTAGAGCAGCATCTGTGTACTCGGTTATGAGAACAGCATTAAATAGAGTTTGTTGTACCACCCAATGAGTGTCCGTTGAACCATGGTTTTATATCAATAATGTCAAAATGTGTTGCGCTGGTGAAATCGCATAATCAACATCAACAGTATTGTAATGTAATGAGTGGGACTTGACATAGCCCGTTATACAGAAGTCTCAATGAGCTTTTGTTACCGTTATCGTCATCATCATCACCATCATCATCATCATTATTCAGCATCATCACTGTTGCTGTTATTGCATGGTGTTACTTTTGTTTTTTATTTTTAGATTTTGGTTAATATTCTAAGTTGATATCGTGTCATTTATTGGAAATATAATATAATTTCTTTTAATTTTCTCAAAATAATTTGAAAATGTTGAAAATAAACAGATGATCTCTTAATAACATTATCATCATCAGTAATAATTATTACCTTCTCCTGTATAGAGCATAGAAGAACAAAGAGTAGTGCTGGGAAAGGTAAGTTTTAAGTGTTTTTTTCGTCTGCGGTAGAGCAGCATCTGTGTCCTCGGTTATGAGAACAGCATTAAATAGAGTTTGTTGTACCACCCAATGAGTGTCCGTTGAACCATGGTTTTATATCAATAATGTCAAAATGTGTTGCGC